AGATCTGGTAAACTCTTTCTGGCATGGCTTCCTTTAAATCCCTCAGGTATTGGGTTGTCTTGGATGATTTGCAGTGGGTGTTTTGGGCAATCTCCTTCAAAGAAATCATGACAATCTTCACAATCTGTAAATAATATTAGTTGGACATTAATTATAATATATGGTTTCATTTAATTGTGCTTAATGTAACATTTGAATGCAACTGGCTGGTATTGCATAAATATAATTAGTTTATCAATTGTTTTATTAGGAGAAAATCCAGGTCAATACTCCTTAAAAATAAAGCAATAAAATGTAGTACTCACAAATGAAATGGTCATCATCGGGAGCTTCAATCTCCATATAACTTTTTCTTTCTGCTTGTCTTCTTGGGTATCTGATAACTTTTGTATCTGAGAATAATTAATAATTTCAAACAATAAAACTGTGAATTAAAAAAAAAATTATTAGGTCTTTTAGGAAATGACATTGCTTTTGTTATCAAGTACCTCTACCAAAAAAATATGCATGTTCTACAGATTTGTACCTGCCAAAAAAACTGACATCTATTACCTATAGGTGCATGAAAGATGTGTTACAGTGCAATTGCTACTAAAGGCTTATCCAAATTCAAGGATTTATAAACAGTAACTGTTGATTGCCAACACAATATTCATGAACGGTACATATATTCTTTACAGCAGGGGACCAGGCCTAAAACTGTAAAAAAAAAAAAATTGAGTGGGAAATTGATTGTCACTGGTTCATCTATTCAGCGAAAATAGTGATAACAAATACCTAAGTCCTAGTGAAAATAAAGTACTACAGTGCATGGAAGATGTATGTATTAATTACCTTCAAGTTGCTGTAAGAGCTAGGACATGCCAAATAAAGGTTTTATAAACACATTACCTTCCAGAGTCTTTGAAGCTACGACAACAGACTTTTTTTCCTTGTTCTTTTTATTTGCATATCTGTTAACCTTGTCTCTTCTTTTTGGTTTCTATATTAAGAGAGAAAATGTTGAAACAAAATTATTTGAAAGATTTCTCTGGGGGATGTTTTGGATATTGTGTTATATTCTGGTAGATGGCTTGAACCAAAATATCACCCAGGGCAATGTTTGACACTCAACATTGTTTGTGAAATCTATTCTGTAAAAAATCTATTCGAAAGCCAACTGTTTAGTCAAAACCCAAGCAGTTAACCAACTCGCTAGCGAGTTTGCAAATTGGCTGCCACAATACTTCTGAGACTTGCTGTAAAGCAATATACGGTAATATAGATTGGGACATTTCCTCAGTCAAAATGAATACAGGTAGAAAGCATTGCTGACTTTGACGACATGAGTGCATAATTCTGATTTTTTGATTAGGTACATCTAATTAATCTGACAACAAACTTGCATTATACATTTGGGGGGGGGACCAAAAGTATCTTGATTTTTGAATGTTCATCTTTGGCATAATTTTTTAGATTTGCATGCTGCTCCATTAAAATGACTTGCACTGTTATGTGCGTTAAATTTGTCGCTAAACCTGTCAATTTGAAAAAATAACAATAACTATTTTCAGATAAATACAGAAGCATGAAGAAGCATGGCCTAACACATATTTGAAATTTGCACTTTCTGCAAATTCTGGGACTAGTTAATTTTGTTATCCATTAGACTATCGGTAGCTTAAAATAATTTGCATTATATTAATGCATACAGATTTTGCATTTGGATTTGTATAATGTTTATTTCATTCAAAGTACACTCTGTATCATAAAGTTTCAGGGGGTGACGGGGAAGTAAGCCAGGCTGAATTAATTATTGAGCCAGTGGTACAGTACAGCATTTGAGCGCACATCTGGTATAAAAGTCAAACAAAACAGTGTATTATGATTAAGTGCAACTCCTATTTTTTTTTTTTTAAATTAATAAAACAAATAAATAAAATAAATGTAGCAAATAGTCAAGTTGCACCTTTCCCCTCCATTAAGAAAAATTAATAAATAAAAAAAAGTAATAAATAGTCCATTTTTTTTAAACTTGTCATGCCACATATAACCAGGGCTTGAAATTCAGACTAAATTCTGATTAATTGACTAAGGCATAATCCAATTGATCCACCTAAAATTAATGATTCAATTATTTTCCATTTCATTTTCCATATAAAGCTTCCCAGTTACCACAAGTACCAACTTCAGAAAATAATTGTTCATCTGGTCAACCAAACTAAATTGGTTAATTTTGAGCATTTTACATATAATAATATAATCCTGCAAGTATTTCAAAATCAACAGTCATGCAAGACAACGCATGGTTACATATTACTTCTGTACTGTGTATCATTCAATACAAAATTAAATAATAAATTATAAAAAGACACTTCAGATGACAAAATGCTTACCTTATCTTCGTGAAAACTGTTCACCTTCACTGGTATTTTAAACGGAGCTGCAAAACTAACTGAAAAAAAAGGTGTACTACATTTTCAGTTGTACTACACCAGTAACTACTCAATATTTCAATTCTACTGGGATTATGGTCAGTTCAATTTATATAGATATTGGGGGGTATCAGTTTGTAGAAATAGAATTTGATTACCATACATTTAAAGTTGGCAAAATATAGGACAAGATAGATTGTAGGATATTTGTAAAATTGTTGGGCATGTTTTTTTCCTCAAAGCCCCGTTTATCTAGGTCAATGCAGTGTTTTTTCCATCTTTAACATTTTAACAATACCTTGTTTTGTCTTTCTGTTGTCAAATCCAGGCACCCATTCTTCATCTTCACTGTCACTCTCAACTTTGGCTTTACGCTTCCTACCTCTAGGACCATTCATAAATTCAGGTTTTACAGCAGTCAATCCTTGAGTTGAAATAAAAAAACAAAACATTTTATAAATATCGAGAGATGTAATTTTTCTTTTGCCATGATATATACACTACATTTGCCCTAGACCAGGGCATGGACTTTAAAGTTGAGAGAGTGCCCATTTATGAGATAAATTGATTGGCCTGATAGACTGCTGTGAATAGAATTGTCATGAGAATTTAGTGTACTAGACTGGATTAAATATTGATTTTAGTCCCTGTTTAGAAAAAGTTGGTCAGAGATAAACAGATGATTTCATTCAGAATTTGTATCATGAGCATGCACATATTGAGTTACAGGTGTACATCATATTTTTTTGGAGATTCAAACAAAAAGGCCAATTGGAGCGTATTTGCTTTTTACTCATATTTGCTTTTTTGTCCATGCCAATTTTTATCAGAACTGTATTTTGTTTTCTCTGCCAGTTTTACAGGCAGGCATACAGAAATATACACTCTCTCCACTTTCCGAATAGAATTGCACAGTGGCCTTAGGATCCACCTGTTCATTGATGCTGGCGAGTACACTAGCAGATGAGGCCAAGCACCTATCCGAATCAAAAACACAAAACCACAGTTATACTAGAATTTACCAATTCTTGCATGTACTCGAATGGCTAGATTTCAAGCTGTACACGAACACATCTTGGCAAATTGTGACATATGGCAGAAACCATACGAGCAAGTGTAGATCTGTATATTAATACTGAAAAGTATAACCAGGTATGGAAAATTGCTTTCACACACAATTCATTTTTTAGTCAACAGAATTGATAGCTAGGTCAAGATACAATTTCATTAATTTGACCTCTCGACCCACTATAGTGGTATGAGTTTCAACGTGGTCCACCTTGAAATATTAATATTAAAAGAATCTCACCAACTTGTAACATCATTTCATAATTTTCTTTGATATTTCTCAATCTCATTTTCTCATAATCAGAAGTTTCATTCCATTCCTTCTCAGTGAAATATGGTCGAATTATTCCATATTCGTCCTCAGATTTACGTTTTCCTTTGGTTTTAGATGATGACATTCTTCTTCTTGAACTGCTGAGAATACTAGTATTAAGACAAGAAACGTCTGAGAATAATCATACAACAATTTGGACAAAATTTCTGAAAACGTCAAATGTCGATCGCGATCGTCTGCCGCATAAATTAACCAGAATATTGAATGGATGTTCTCCGTGAAACACTATTTCAATTTTGAATTGGTAAAACTTGATAGTTACCTTGAATGTAAAACCGGGATAATAATCGTCGTTTTTTACTCGATCTAGAATGCAAAACTTCTGCTTCAGTGGTGCTTAGACTAGACTGCTACAGTAGTCTGACAGTGGTGGTTCAAGATTTTTGTTCAAACTTTGCGCCAAAATCTGCCCTCTCGAGGTAGCTGTGATTGTTGTTATAGCAACGATGATATCACTTCTTACATATTATTTGCATCTTATTATTAATGGCGACGCAAAGAAATCCCTGACTTCATGATGTTGTTGTACATCGAAAGCAAAGCTTTCCCGGTAAGTATGTCTATCACACGAAAATAAATGAAGCTGTAGACATTGTACAATGACAATCAATACCAATTATTACTGATAAATCGTGTAAGTAGTGTTATATACATACATTCAGCCTGTGAGTTCGAACAGTCTTATTTGCTGGCCACTGACAGGAGCCTGAATGACGATCTATTTGTGTGGTTGGCTGCTGAAGTTATGAACGGTCGCCCTCACCACCTTCCATGCTATTAAAGTCATAAGGTATTGTACCGGTCCGCCACATATATATCATAGACGTCTATGACTTTAACTGACCACACGAATAGACCACATGCACTTGAATCCAATGAATTTGACTGAAAACAGAAGTACCGGTATAGACCATGGACGTACTATAGACGGAAGAAATTTACACCTACATCGACTATGTCCCGATAAAGAGCTTTTTCTTGCCCAAAATTATAGAATTGAAACTTTTCGTAATGTAATGTATGTAATGTCATGAAATCATCCACGCTCCGAAACACCTAAATTACTAAACCATGTTTCTGTCTGATCAGCCTGCAATTAGTACAGGAGGCGCATGTCCGCCGAACTCGGCCAAGGGCGAAACTCGGCCAGTGATTGAAGTCGGCCAGTGATTTAAGTCATGTGAGTGTTTATGGTCTGCAAGTGTTGTTGATTTCAGTGACGCAGCTGTCATTTTGGCATGGATCTAGAAGCCGTACCTACACACGAATTGGTGACGTCACAAAATACATGACCTTCAATCGGGGTCGTTTCCTCGGTATATACGAATTGGTATACTAGTATACAAATTACATAAAGATACTTAAGAAAA